CACCCCCCCCCCCCCCCCCCCATACACCCGGAGCCACTAGCTCTCCAGCGTTCTTCCGCCTGCACCAGCTGAGTGAAGCGAGCGTGCACGGCAGGACTCGCTGTTGCAGTTCTTCAAAATTTAAATCATCAATCACAGATTGTTATGAATGTGGGAGAAAAAAAAATGTATACAAGTCGCAGGACTGACAAATCTATACACAAAAAAACCCTGCGACTTATACGCCTGAAAATACGGTAACCGTTTTGTTCTCCATCTTATTGCTTGGGTGAATTATCCACTTAAACATTTTTCATTGAGGTGTTTTTGAGCATTGGATTGTTCAAGTTGAAAATGATTCCAGTGACCAACTGGTGCACCCCTAATATCATTTTTTATTTTTAAAGAAGACCTTTATTTCATCCAGCAACAGAGTTCACAAGATAAATTTTCCTTTATCTATTGGTCAAAACAAATTATTATATGGCTAAAACCCACTTTTTAGAGCCTCTGTTTCCCAGTATTTAATCTGAAATGGACTTTCTGGAGCTCCTCATCTCCTTAATAAGACAAACGTCTTAACTTCCCATTTCTGTTGTGCACAAAATGCAGCAAAGTTTAAACTTAGCATTAGAAATAATAAAGAAGAAGCTGGATTTTCTTTCAGACTGGAGACATTTTATCTTTTTTTAATAGAACATGTCTTATTTATACAGTTTTTGGCACAATTGTTAGAAATTATACTTTTAATTAAGCAAGTTGCACTAAACAAACGTCATATTTGAAGAGCATTTGTGATTTTCCATTTTTTAAAAACGTTAGATCATTTAATTCAAGATCTTGATCAAACTTCTGTTTGCTGAGACTTGAGGGTGCATTATTAAAATTACACCCCCCACCCCTTATGTTTGATTCTGGACTGGTTAGATTTTTGAGGTTAGTCATCAGACTGCTGTATATTTACACCATAACACCAAGAGGCTGATAATTTACATGGTGAATTAGTTGTATTAAATATAAAAAAGAAGAAAAAAAATATGTTTTGTTTAAATTTCAGCTGAGTTTTGATGATCTTAACCATTCTACTTCTACTTTGATCAGGGTCTGTCACATTTACACGCCCACCACGTGATTCACCGCGACATAAAAGGCCAGAACGTCCTGCTGACGGAGAACGCCGAAGTCAAACTGGGTGAGCGACGCCGCTCACATTCATTAATTTCCTGAACAAAACCAATAAAGCTGTTGGTCACCGTGGAAAACTGTTTTGGAAAGTGCACATTCTTCCCTACAGCTATTAATTGTACCTTTTTCCCCGCAAACTTGTCGATTTTTGGTGAAAATCGCCAATTTCAATCAAAAATATGTAATTTACGTGAATCATCTAGATCCGAAGAGTTTTTTCCAGGGGTGGAGGTGGTGGGTGTGTGTGTTCGGAGGCGTGGTAGATGGCATAACTTCCTATTGACTGGATTTACGTAGCCCAAGTAGTCGTGCTAGCTAGCTCACAACAAAGCTCATGCTAGCGCATTTATAAAGTGCTAGCTTAGTGCTACGTAGGTGCAGAGAGTTGTCGATTCAAGGGGGTGGGGGGCATTGTGAGGTGTGGTAGATGGCATAATTTCCCATTGACGTGGATTTAAGTAGTTGCGCTAGCTCGTAAGCGCTAAACTAGCGTACTTACATAGTGCTAGCTTAGCGCTTATGTAAGTGCCAGGCGTTGTCCATGATAGTGGGGGTGTACAGGAACACCCGCCTCCACTACAGGCACTAGGTTTATCTTTTTCCATCCCTTGTGAGTTTGCATCTACGCAACATGAGGTAAATAAAATAACAATTATTGCGAATGTATTATGTTTCAAACAAATGGTTTGTCCGTCCATTGTCCCCTTCTCCGTCCAGTGGACTTCGGCGTGAGCGCCCAGCTGGATCGGACCGTGGGGAGGAGGAACACCTTCATCGGGACTCCATATTGGATGGCTCCCGAGGTCATTGCTTGTGACGAGAACCCGGATGCCACGTATGACTACAGAGTAAGATTCGGACACGCGAAAACTGACGTCGTCGTACTCCTGCACGCCTTTGGGCGCCTTTGTGCTGTTATCGGTTCGTTCAGTGAGATGGTTTCTGTGTTGCAGAGTGATCTGTGGTCGTGTGGCATCACGGCGATTGAAATGGCCGAAGGAGCACCACGTGAGTTTTTATTAAAATGTTTCGAACGGCCGTTGAAAGGCTCGTGCGGGTCATTGCTGTGTGACAGTCTTTTGACGGGCGTACAATGTGCCATGCTCTTCTTATTTTTGGTAAGTGCTGGTTTAGTTTCCAACGCTGACAGATGTTGTGATTCCTCCTGCAGCTCTCTGCGACATGCACCCCATGCGTGCGCTCTTCCTCATTCCAAGAAACCCTCCTCCGAGGCTCAAATCCAAAAAATGGTGAGTCATTTCCACAAACGATGTTTCCAGCGGACCTGTGTGGACATCTTTGTATCGTTTCCAATCCTCAGGTTTTTATGTAAAGATGTTTTTATGTCTGCGTTGAGATTTTTATTTCAGCTCTGGTCCCAGGCAGCGACAGGGGCTTAAATCCAAGAGCCGAACATCTGCGCTACACCTGCTCCGGCAGATTGTTGGCGCACAGAATGTAGAAAAACATCCAGACCTCTTGATTTTCTTCTCCTTTTTCTGACTCGAGGGCTTAAATGAGTTCAGTTTAGACGGCTTTTTGGAATACAGCGTTAAAAGAGCAAATTACGGATGGTTTTGCTGCTGTCATTTTGATTTTGGATGACTGAAATTATTTCATGGTGTATCAAGACGTTTTGTTCATTACCTATAGTTTATAAAGAGAAAACTGGTGTTAAAAGCATGAGGGAGAGCATCAACTTATCCCTACTGCATGGCGTGGTGCCTAAAATGGCTAAAATTGCAAAAATCATTCCAATTTACAAACCTGGAAACAAAAATGACATTAGTAATTATCACCCTATTTCTGTTCTTTCAACTTTATCTAAGATACTCGAAAGAGTTGTACATAGATTAATTGAATACCTTGATGAACAGCTGGTTCTCTCAAATTCACAGTATGGTTTCAGGAAAAAGAGTTCTACCAGTTTGGCTATTTTGGACCTTACTAAAAGAAATATTGATACAATTGAACAGTTAATGGTGTTGGCATGTTGTTGGACCTCTCTAAGGCTTTCAATACAGTTTATTTTGATGTAAGCTGCATCATTATGAGATAAGAGGAACGACATACAATTGGTTTAAAAGTTATCTTTTTGGTAGACAACATTATGTAATTCTAAATCATCAAAAATCTCAAATTCGAGCCATCAAACATGGGGTCCCCCAGGGTTCAATCTTGGGACCATTACTTTTCATTATTTATATCAACGACTTTGTAAATTCTTCCAAAATATTTCATACGGTCATTATTGCTGATGATGCCAACTTGTTTTTTTTTTTCCATATAAAAATTCTTCAGAACTGGAGGAAATAGTAAATGCTAGGAATGCGCAATATATACGGTAGAAACGATAGAAATTTAGCCTATGATAGAGATCTGTATTCTACCGGCTAACCGCAGTAATGCTGTCTGAAGTAAAATCAGAGTTGTCAGATTTAATTGTTACTTTTTTTAGTTGAAAACTGTGCACAAGTGGCGTTCAAGTCATTTCTTCGAGAGCTAAATAGCGAAGCTACAAGCTAACTACAGCCGGCTTGCTGTAGTGTTGCCATATTCTGACGCATGCGCAAAACGCTGTGTTCTGTCAAAAGTTTTTTTTTTTTTTTTTTCATCGAAAGTTAAAATAAGCGTTGGTCATCTTTAGAGAAACCTGCTCTCTGATCTGTGAATAGAACGCTGTGTTGTGTGATTTTACTGCGAGACCATCTGGTCAAAGCCACAAACTCATTTTGTGTCAGCTCGCCTTTAAAGCAGAAGGAGGCGCCCACTAGAGGTTTGGAGGGTGAAGTGTTTCAGTGTAAAATGCTGCTCTGTTGCTGTTCATTTATTAAAGTAAGACTGAAACTGTTGAGAGTTAACATATTTTTTTGTTTAAAACATGAGGCTAAAACTACATTTGATATCTTTTGCACTGTTTTGCACTACACGAAAGAAGCCTAATACTTGATTTGTTTATTATTTAAAACCTCTCTGGACCTAGCAGTGGAATTTTCTTAATTCAAAATATATGATGGCAAAAGGACACCTTTTATTTAGCAAGTTTTATACCAAAAACATATCGCGATATATATCGTTATCGCCACCCTTCACAATACATATCGTGATATGAATTTTATTCCATATCGCACATTCCTAGTAAATGCAGAACTAAAAAAAATAAATACCTGGTTCAAGAGTAACAAGTTATCTCTTAATAGGCCTATCGCGATAAACAATAAATCAATTAATCGCATGATAAATGAAAATTATCGACCTCATTTTCAATCATCGGCTTTATCATTTCTTCGTCTCTCTCTCTTTCTACTGAAGACACTGGATGACAAAAAGTTAAACTCCGGTGCTCTTCACTGACCCCTCCCTTTCTCTTTTCTCTTTAAAATCCATTTTAACTGTCCAAAATTCACAGTTTAAACCCGTGCCTTTTTGTAAAAAGTTTTTTCTCTGCAAAAAGAATCTGAGAACTTGTTTACTGATTTTTTTAAATTAAAAGCTTTGTGTGAAAAATGCTATGCTAAAGAGCTCAAACCACACAGAACGTCCGCCATTTTTAGAACTGAATAAAGGAAGGAGAGACAACCCATGTCACGTTAAGGGGCCTCTCTCCCATTTTTCTTAAAGAGACACGCTGCTCGCTCTCTATCTATCCTTCGGTTCAAACAGTCTTATACTGCCATCCGGTGGTCGAAAAAGGTACGACATTCAAAACAAATAAACCAACATTTCTTCTTAAATTTGATGATAATTACTATTGTCAAATTTCAAACAATATTATCGTTTATCGCAATAATTTCTGAGACAATCGCCCAGCAAAATTGATCGTGACTGGCTTGCTCTTAATTTCAGCAAAACTAATTGTATTCTCTTTAGATCCAATAAAGCTAAACTTTTAATTGATCATGTAATTCTCCAAACTGAAAATGAGAAATTAATGAGAGCAAGTTCTACATAGACGAGTCCTTAAATTTTAAATTGCATATTGAGTCCTAACAAAGTTGGCCAAATATGTTGGCTTGTTTTTTAAATTACATTAGTTGCCTCTATCCACACTTTTAACAATGTATAAAACTCTCATGAACCACACTTTATATACTGTAATGTTATATGTTGCAATACTTACCCTAGTTATCTTCCGAAACTTGAAAGCGTTCAAAAGAAGATAATAAGAGCTGTATCATGGTCCGAGTAGAACGCCCCCACGTCCCATCTGTTCCATCGTTTTGGTCTTCTTCAGCTAACAGGATTAAATGTGTATCAAAACGCCTGTTTGATGTTTCAAGTTGTAAATAAAACTAATAATAGATTGAGCTTGTTCCAATCAGTGATCCACAACGTACTTATGAAACCAGGAAATAAAAACATTATCTGCATCAAATATAGAAGACTTAAAACCACTAGTCGGACCTTTTCTGGGAGGGCCCACAGATTTGGAACGAGCTTGACGAGAGTTTGAAATTCATCTCCACCTTCAAAAAACAGTTAGACCAAATTGCTCTGTTTATATACTTGAGGTCAGTTGTAGGACCTGTAACTGATTGATCAGATGTAATAATCTGTACTGTACGTTGAATTACAGTTATGTATATGATTCTTTCTGTGTGTGTGTGTGTGAATAAACTAAGGAGCATTATTTGGAAACGGATGTTTGCTTTTTACAGATGTGTAGCCGAGGTCTAACTCTCTGCTTTGACCGATTGCCACAGGTCAAAGAAGTTCTTTAGTTTCATAGAGAACTGTCTGGTGAAGAACTACACCCAGCGCCCGCCCACGGACCAGCTGCTGAAGCACCCCTTCATTCGGGACCAGCCCAACGAGCGGCAAGTTCGCATCCAGCTCAAAGACCACATCGACCGGACCAAGAAGAAGAGGGGAGAGAAGGGTGAGCAACGATGTTTACTGTATTTTCCGCCGTACACGTCGTACCACCCTATAAGTCACATCGGTCCAAATATGTCTAACAAAGTGGAAAAATCCACAAATACGTCGATTTGCCGTATACGTCGCATCTATTATGCGTCACAGCTGACAACCCAGAAACGAGGGCCGGTGTTGAGCCAAAAATCAATTGGCTGCCAATTGGCGGTCGCGGAAGTGTGCACGGGAGGGCTTTAACAAGAATTTAACAAGATTAACACTGAAAAAAAATTATTTGTTTGCTTGACTTTATAGTAAAGATGTGTCTCAGTTGAACTTATACTTAATAAATGCACTTTGACAGTCAAATGAGCTGCATTTCGCCGGAGCAGCGCAGCGAATTGAAGCTGATTTGACGGTTGCTCCAAGCAGCGAGCAGTACAAAGGTGGCATCTGTGGCAAGCCGATTGTGTCATTAATAGCCACTTTTACCTATTACATGATACAACGGCATGCCATACTACTCTGCTGCCATCTAGTGGCTGAAAATGGTAGTGTTCAATATTTTCAGTCAGAATGAATGAAAACGGTCAGATCTCAGCCAAACACTGGTTTATAAATATGGGGAAAAAAAACATAAATACGTTGCTTCGGTGTATAAGTTGCAGGGCGTGGAAATTATGCATAAAACTGTGACTTATATGGCGAAAAATATGGTACTTGTTACAAAAAAGATATATAAACGCAGCTGTTCATGACAGTTGGTCGCTGTGGTGAAAGATGTTTGGTCTTTATGTTCAGATGAGACGGAGTACGAGTACAGCGGCAGCGAGGATGAAGAAGAGGACCCCCCGGAGCAGGAAGGAGAGCCCAGGTACGGTCTACTTCAGGGCTATTCAACTAATCTGCTCAAGGGGCCACAGTTACTGAAAGCCAAGAGCTCAGGGGCCGGACATCCAGCAGTCGTCATTAAGGAAGTTTATTTTACGGTTTAAAATCCAGTTTTATTTAAAAATTAACCCATTGCTGGGCCGAACTGAGCTCCTCCTTGGGCCTGATTGGGCCCCTGGGCCTCCAGTTGAATAGCCCTGGTCTAGCGCCTGCTCGCGTTTGTACCTTCTCACCCGAGGGAGCTTTGAGTGAAACATTAACCTCCTTGTCCCGTTTTCCCTCCGTCTATCAGCTCTATCGTCAACGTGCCAGGCGAGTCGACGCTGCGCCGCGACTTCATCCGCCTGCAGCAGGAGAACAAGGAGCGGTCAGAGGCACTGCGTCACCAGCAGCTCCTCCAGGAGCAGCAGCTCCGAGAGCAGGAGGAGTACAAGCGCCAACTGCTGGCCGAGAGGCAGAAACGCATCGAGCAACAGAAGGAGCAGAGGAGGCGGCTAGAAGAGGTACGGTGTTTTTTAATTTATTTTAATTATTGGTTTGAGTGAATAAAAAACGAGTAATCGGAACAAAATAATCAGCTTTTGGAAATATTAACTCCACAGCAACAGAGACGTGAGCGGGAGATGAGGAGGCAACAAGAGCGCGAGCAGCGTCGCCGCGAGCAAGAGGAGAAGAGGCGCGTGGAGGAGATGGATCGCAGACGTAAAGAGGAGGAGGAGCGCCGGCGGGCCGAAGACGAGAAGAGGAGGAACGATCGAGAGCAGGTCGGGATTCACGTCGTTTTAACTTTAGGAAGCTCGTCGGTTCCTGCTTTTGATCGTTGGTGTCGTCCTGACTGACAGGAGTACATCAGACGCCAGCTGGAGGAGGAGCAGCGACACCTGGAGAAGCTGCAGGAGCAGCTGCTCCGTGAGCAGGCCATGCTGCTGGTCAGTGCCACACACGTGCACACCGTCACACTCTACGAAGAAATATGGTCTCTGTCCCGCAGCGGCATCACGTTCTGCGCAGTTTATAATAAAACCAAGCTCTAATAATTCACCGCTGCAGTTAGGTCCATCCAAACCCCTGCAGAGTGAAGGATTATGGGTATTCAACAAACACAAACAAGCTGGCATAAAGTCCCATTAAAAAATAACATGTGGACGGACTGAAAAGTAGCTTTACTTACTGTTCCTCACAAAAACTTTGAATTTAATTTGATCTTTTCCAAACAGCTGAGCAAAGGTAAAGATTCAAAAACTAGTTTTCTATTCAGTTTGTTTCTGTAGCTCCAAGTCAGAACAGAAGTGTCTTAGGGCACTGAACAGAGACATTCTTATACATAAAAATAGGAACAGTCAGTGGAAGTTATCCAAGGAAGCAGCAGATCGTGTTGAGTCTTCACGTCGTCACAGTCTCCCATCCTGAGCAAGCACGGAGGAGACAGTGGAGAGGAAAAACCTCCTTTAAACAGGAACAAACCTCCAGCAGAACCAGGCTCAGGACGAGCGGACATCTGCTTCAACCAGCTGGGTTTGAGAGGACAGGAAGTAGAAATGGACAAACACAGAATGACAGGTCCAGGTGAACTTTCTATAGGAGGAAAGACAAAAAAAAACGTTAAGATATAAATAATTACAAATACAAACAGGAAGAGTAAAGTAAAGACAGCAGCAGAGGGAGGAAATGTGGTCAATTTGTCCTCCAGCAGCAGCATAACTAAGGGACAGCTCAGGAAACCCAAGCCAACCCTAACTATAGGATTTATCAGAAAGGAGAGTCTTAAGCCAGCTGAGTGAAGCTGACACCCCACCCACTTCCAAAATTAAAGCAACTAGTCTGAATGGTTAGTGCTTCGTTAGTGCTCGTTTGTTCCGGTGAAACTAGCGTTTGTGCTGCTTTAGTTTATGAGATATTAAGAATTATAATTTCGCCCGATGACGTCACCATCCCCCCATGTTGCTCCAAAACAGACGGGAGTGGTGACGTCATCGGGCGAAATTATAATTCTTAATATCTCATAAACTAAAGCAGCACAAACGCTAGTTTCACCGGAACAAACGAGCACTAACGAAGCACTAAAAAAGTAGACCACTCCCGTGTGTTTTGGAGCAACATGGGGGGATTGTGACCTTTGGATGAGCTAAAAATTTATCTTTAATATCTCAGAAAGCAAAGCAGCACTAACGAAAATTTTTACGGCACAAACCAGCACTAACGGAGCACTAACCATTCAGACTAGTTGCTTTAATTTTGGAAGTGGGTGGGGTGTCAGCTTCACTCAGCTTCTTAAGCCCAGTTTTAAAACTAGACAATGTGTCAGCCTCACAGACAGAAACTGGAAGTTGGTTCCACAAGAGAGGAGCCTGACAACTGAAAGATCTTCCTCCTGTTCTGATTTTGGAAACTCTAGGAACCGTGAGTAAGCCTGCAGTCTGAGAGCAAAGTGCTCTGTTAGAAAAATATGCAACAACAAGATCTCAAATATAAGATGGAGCTAGGTTGTTGAGAGCTTTCTAGGTTAGAAGTAAGATTTTGAGTTCAGTTCTGGATTTGACAGGGAGCCAACGGAGAGAAGCTAAAACTGGAGAGACATGATCTCTCCCACTAACTCCAGTTAAGACTCTGGCAGCAGTATTTTGGATTAAATGAAGACGTTTTAAAGAAGTATTTGGACACCCAGATAATAAACCATTGCAATAGTCCAGTCTAGACGTGACAAATGCATGAACCAGTTTTCCTGCCTCATTTTTAGATAAGATGTTTCTAATTTTAGTTTACGTAGGTGGAAGAAGGCAGTTCTAGTAATGTTTTTAATGTGGGGGATAAAAGACATGTCCTGATCAAAAATAACACCAAGATTTTTAACATTAGAACTGGAGGACAGATTAATGCCATCCAAGGAGGGAGAAAGACTGAAAAAAGTATTCCTAAGATGCTCAGGTCAAAAAACTAAAGCCTCGGTCTTGTCTGAGTTCAAAAGCAGAAAATTAAGGGCCATCCGTGTTTTTATGTCTTTAAGACATGCTTGTAGTCTAAGTAGCTGATTGGATTCATTGGGTTTAATGGACAAATATAATTGTGTGTCATCAGCATAACAATGAAAATGTATCCCATGCTGGTTAATAACTTTACATAATGGAAGCATATATAAGGTGAAGAGTATTGGTCCAAACACTGAACCTTGAGGAACTCCATGACTAACTTTGGTGTATGAAAAAGATTCATTACAAACACAAATTCATGGTTCCTCTAAAGACGCGTCCAGGTTTGAACAGAACATTTGTATTTTTTTAGTTTTTATTTTTCAAGTTAATGAAAAACTCTGTGATATTAAATTATAAAAATGTTTTCACGATCAAACCAAACATTTTACTTTTAAAGACAGTTCAAGGCAATCGGTGCAGAAGTACAAATGTTTTCGTGTGAAGCTTTACGCCACCTTTTTGTTCAACAAGTGGGCAGCCTGTGTTTTTATTTTTTAATTTAATTTCTCGCCCCCCCCATGAATCAAACCGTCTGCGACAGGAGTTCAAGTGGCGGGAGCTCGAGGAGCAGCGCAAAGCTGAGCGGCTCCACAAGCGGCTGCAGCAGGAGCAGGCCTACCTGCTGTCGCTGCAGCACGAGTCCAAACAGCAGCCTGGTGACAAGACCAAAGTGTCCTCAGACCAGAGCAAACCTCCAAAGACCTCCACCCTCCCCCCTGACAGAACCCGCACATCCTCCCCTCAAGCTCAGGTTGTTGCCTCGGATGTTTCCGAGTCGTCTCCTCCGATCGCCCCCGCAGAGAGCACGAAGCCCCAAACAGCAGTCCAAGAGAAGACTGATGAGACCATCCCACACTCCCCCACACCCAGCCCCCCCACGGACTCTGAACCTCCCCAGGCAGAGAGTCTGGAGCCTGATAGGCCCACGGAGCCCGTCAGAGAGGTGAACCTCCTCGGCTCTGTCCTCCTGCTGCCTGCTCTTCTCCTCCTGCTTGCCTTCACACCACATCTGTTCAGAATGATTGAAAACCAGAAACGGCTCGTTTGTCCTCACACCACACCTGGAGTTCTAACCAGGTGAACCAACGAGTGGTTTACTGCAAACAGTTAAAATGGACACTCCTGCATTTTTTATTTCAGTCACGTACGTTGTGAAACTTGACTCTTGCTTTGCTTGAGAAGGAAGCAGAAACCTAACGAATGTATTTTTGAGCAGAGGGCCGTTGCATGTGGACGACTGAGGCCCAGACTAACTCACGGCCGTCACACGCCTCCTGTCTCATTAACAGGTCTTTTTTCCCCTGAAATGTTCAAGATCACGTCTGTTTGGAAACTTCTCTGTCTTCATGGCTGCCTCAAACGGGTTTCCTGCATGTTAATATCTCTGTCTGTAAAATTATTTACCGTATTTTTCGCCCTATAAGTCGCTTTTCTTTTTTTTTTCATAATTTACATGCATCCAAAAGGCCGAAGCGACATATTTATGGATTTTTTTTCCACATATGACCGAGATATGACCGTTTTCATTCATTCTGACTGAAAATATTGAACACTACCATTTTCAGCCACTAGATGGCACTTTAGTATGGCATGTCGTTGTCATGTAATAAATAAAAGCGGCTATTAATGACGCAATCGGCTTGCCATAGCCTGCCACCTTCGTCCAGCTCACTTGGAGCAACCGTCAAATTAGCTTCATTTCGTTGCGCCGGCGAAATGAAGCTAATTTGACCCTTGAAGTGAATTTATTAAGGAAAAGTTCAACTGAGACACAACTTTACTATAAAGTTGAGCAAACAAATAATTGATTTAAGTGGTTACCTTGTTAAGTTTTGAAGAAATGCACAATGAGTCTTCCCGTGCACGCTTCTACGTCCGCGTATCTGCTTTTGAAATGCAGCTTATTTGACCGTCAAAGTGCATTTATAAAGGAAAAGTTCAACTGAGACGCACCTTTGCTATAATTTCAAGCAAACAAATAATTGTTTTTAAGTGTTACTCTTGTTAAATTCTAGTTAAAGTCCTCCCGTGGCCGCCGTTTGGCAGCCAATCGATTTTTGGCCCACGTTTCCGGGTCGTCAGCGGTGACGCATAATAGATGCGACCTATACGGTGAAGCGACATATTTATAAATTTTTCCACTTTATTAGACGTATTTGGACTGATGCGACTTATAGGGCGGAAAAAACGGTAATTGAAGCTCTATGTGTAGGAACGTACAAGCAGATGGGAACTGTTTTTACTTAATTTTTTGAATCCCGAACGAATTCGAAGCGTCTTCGGGCACAGCTGTGGTTCCCTTCTGCTTGGTCTGTGTCGTACGTTTCCTTCCTTCGTTTCACGTTTGTCCTTTACGATTTCCTCATCCCAGGCCGACGAGCGCTTCCGTAAGAACATCCTGGGCTCCCCTCAAACCGCCCCTCCACCCAAGCAGCCCCCGCTGCCTCCCCGCTCCTCTGAACCCTTCTCCAACGGGGGGTCCTCATCCGAGGCGTCCGCCATGCACCGACCCATGGAACCCCAGGTAACTCCTGTCCGCTCCTTCACCCCGTCCTCTTATCCCTCCATCTGTGACGCATTTACAGTCTTTGTTGTTTGGCTGATTAATCTTAGAGTAAATGCCACTGAGTCCGTTTATAGTAGCAGGTAGAAATCAAGTTCACCTCGTGTAAACTTCACATGTCCGCTGTCTGAGTCAGCACAGCTGTTGCCTTCAAATACCTTCTAATTCAGCCGGAAACGTCATTTCAAAATGTAACGGAAATGATACTCATATTTAATTTTTTTACTTTACTTTTATTTACAGGTTTATCATTTACTTCTTGCAAATTCCTTGAGAGACTGTTTACGTTTTTAAGATGTGCAGCTTTTCTTTAAGTGAACATCTTTACGGGTTTTTATTGAGACTCGTCTGGAACTTTAAACTTCTACACGTGGAATGTTTAAAGTTTTATAGAAATGGAGGAATAGATGTTTTTACCAGTGGCAAACCGTGACTGTAAGAGCCTTCATTCATTATTGTAGCAAACTGATCAATGCTAACATAGGAGTCGCGGTCTGATGACATCACTTTCAGTTTCACAATCCAGGAACGCTCTGAACAGGAAGTGCTTTCCCTCTTCCAACATCTGACTCACCGTGTTTTACAGCCTGAACATAAACACCAACAGAGACGACCCATCTGAGCACAGAACGCGAAGAAGTCCACGCATTTCTGTCCCAGGATTACCCAGCAGCCCCTGCGGCTCACCCAACCTCTGGCTTTAAAGTACATGTTCAGGTGCTGGTCATTAAATTAGAATATCATGAAAAAGTTGATTTGTTTCAGTAATTCCATTCAAAATGTGAAACTTTTATATTATGTTCATTCATTACACACGGACTGATTTATTTATTTATAAAATTTAATTATAATTTTTTTTTTTTTTTATAAAACAGTTCCATAAACGATAAATATAAAAATGAAAGGCAGCAGAAGGAAGAAAAAAAAAATTGTATTATATCTGTCCCTTTTTTTCCAAACAATTAATTCAAACAATAATAACCTTAAAGTAACAAAAATAAATAACTCCTTTTTGAACAACAGTTCATACAGTACACATTAAGCTACTTAACAATTCAACTTTGATCATTTTCTTAAACGTACACATTGATTTGGCATTTTTAACATCACTCTCCAGACCATTCCACAATCCAATTAACCTGGATTGAGGTAGACTGTCCCTTCAGACTAGTTCTAAATTTCAGTTTCACAAATATCTCTATCCATTTAAGATTATAACAACTTTCTCTTTTAACAAAATTTAATTGGATATTTAATGTATTATCATGAGCCCTATACATAACTCATAAAATACTATAATCTACCAAGTCATGGAACTTCAATAACTTAAGTTCATAAATAATGTACTTGATGGGTGACTGTAATGCTTTCTAGTGATAATTCTTACAACTCTTTTTTTGTAAAACAAAAAAAGGTTCTGTAATTGTTTTACATGCTTTCCCCCAAACATCAATACACTAGATTAAGTTTGGAACAATGATTGCATTATACAACATATACAGAGCTTTATATTATAATAACTCCCTTACTTTGTACAGTACTGCAATAGATTTGGCTATTTTTGTTCTTACATAATTTATGATGTTTCCATGTCAGCTTTTCATCAATTATTACACCCAAGAACTGCACCTCACTAACTCTACAAATCTCAACACCCTCGATTTTAAATGGAACATCAACAGTTTTCTTTTTATTACTTAATACCATATAATTAGTTTTTTTCTAAGTTTAATGATGATTTATTAAGTTTAAACCAAGTTTGTATTTTTACAAATTGTGTCTGCATCAACACCAACATCCATTCTGTGTTTTTACCCAAACAAAAAAAATGTGTTATCATCTGCAAATAGGACGCATTTAAGGAGTCCTGACGCATTTACCAAGTCATTCACATATAAAATAAATAACTTTGGTCCAAGTACAGAACCTTGAGGAACTCCACATGTAATATTGCAAAGGTTTATTTTGTTTAATGTTGATGATTATAACTGACAACTAATGAAAACCTCAAATTCAGTATCTCAGAAAATTAGAATATTGTGAAAAGGTTCAATATAGAAGGTGCCACACTCTAATCAGCTACTTAACTCAAAACACCTGCAAAGGCCTTTAAATGGTCTCAGTCTAGTTCTGTAGCTACACAATCATGAGGAAGACTGCTGACTTGACAGTTGTCCAGAAGACGACCATTGACACCTTGCACAAGGAGGGCAAGACACAAAAGGTCATTGCTAAAGAGGCTGGCTGTTCACAGAGCTCTGTGTCCAAGCACATTAACGGAGTGAAGGGAAGGAAACGATGTGGTAGAAAAAAGTGTACAAGCAACAGGGATAACCGCACCCTGGAGAGGATGGTGAAACAAAACCCATTCCAAAATGTGGAGGAGATTCACAAAGAGTGGACTGCAGCTGGAGTCAGTGCTTCAAGAACCACCATGCACAGACGTATGGCAAGACATGGGTTTCAGCTGTCGCATTCCTTGTGTCAAACCACTCTTGAACAAGAGACGGCGTTTAGAGCACTTCATGCTTCCTGCAGCTGACCAACTTTATGGAGATGCATTTTCCAACAGGACTTGGCATTAATTGGTCAGAAAACTCACCTGACCATAACCCCATAGAAAGTCTGTGAGTTACTGTGAAGAGGAAGATGTGATACACCAGACCCAACAATTCAGAAGAGCTGAAGGTCACTATCAAAGCAACCTGAGCTCTCAGAACACCTGAGCACTGACACAGACTGATCCATGCCACGTCGCATTGCTGCAGTAATCCAGGCAAAAGGAGCCCCAGCTTTGAGTGCTGCACATGTTCATACTTTTCAGTTGGCCAACATTTCTAAAAATGATTTTTTATTGGTCTTAAGTAATATTCTAATTTTCTGAGATACTGAATTTGGGGTTTTCATTAGTTGTCAGTTATAATCATCAACATTAAAATAAATAAACATCTGAAATATATCAGTCTGTGTTTAATGAATTAATATAATATACAAGTTTCACTTTTTGAATGGAATTACCGAAATAAATCAACTTTTTCATCATATTCTAATTTTATGACCAGCACCTGTAATTTCAATAATTCATTCATTTACCAGTAACCCACAGAACTTTCTGTAAAATTTCATCTTGTAATCAAACCAAAATACAAATTGATGTAAATGTAAATAAGCTATAATAAGATATTTACTCTTCATGCCCTGCGATGGACTTGCGACCCGTCCAGGGTGTACCCCGCCCCTCGCACAGTGATTGCTGGACATGGGCACCAGCGACCCCCGTGACCCAAAATGGAATAAGCGGGTAAAGATAATGGATGGATGGATGGATGGGTGTCTTAGAGCAAACTACAGTTTCATTGCGGATTTTAGAATTTACAGGTTGTAATTGAACGCATCACAAATCTTCACAGTCTATTAAAAAAAATCCCTGAAAACTCAGTTTCATGTTTTGGTCCCGCCCACTCCACATTCACATTCTGATTGGTTAATGTTCCTGTCTGAGCTCCGCCTTCTTTCCTGACAGAGAAGTCCTGACCAATGAGGAAGAACCCTCAGACATGTTTCTGCCTGGAGACACAAATTTAAAAGAATCTGATTGGATAACTTTTGCGAATTAAAGTATTTTGCTCAACTGCAAAGTTGTTTACAGAAAATAAGAATGGAACATTTCACAAGTGCTGAATTCTTAGTCCTTCTCTGAAGGCGCTGAAGGTTCCCCACATTCTTAAAACATCAGCTCGGGTTAGAATGCGTTGTGATTTAAAGGGATTTGTGCTAAATGACATCAAAATTAATTTTCTAGTCAGTCGCTAACGCTACTCTTAATCTTAAGGTTTGACTCATTTCAGTGGTTTTTATAAATATTGTTTTATTGATGATGCGTTCTGAGCTTAAAGCCCGGACGGTGTTTCATCGTTCCAAACCTCGCACGTCTTCCCTCATGTCTCACTGTGCTGTCTGCTTGTTCCACCTCCCCCCACCCCACCCCCTCCTCTCGTTCTTTCCTCACCCCCTCAAAGGTCCAGTGGTCACACCTGGCTGCTCTAAAGAGCAGTAACAGCGCCGCCCCCTCTCCTCCTCCGCCCGTCGTCTCCCGCTCCCAGTCCTTCAGCGAGTCCGGCGGCGTGAGCTCGGGCTTTGCGCAGCTCCACCTGCGTTCCCAGGACCCCCACCAACACCACGCACGCCCTGACCCCCAACCCCAGCCTCCCCTCCACCACCCTCAGCCTCAGACCCGCCTTGAACGCCAAGCCACCAGTGAGGAGGTCCCACCGAAGGTAAGGATGGTGAGGGCTGCTCTATCCCCCTGCCCCCGACCCCCCGACGTCCACTTCCTGTCACATCACAATCCACCACTCGAGTCTGTGTCTGCTCCGTCGGTCCTCATACTAGTTTACACAAGATGCTGTTAAAGTTTTTAAATTTAAAGTAAGATTTTTGGGTTTCTAATGCGACGCCTTGGTGACATCACTGGGCACAAATTAATCACGTCTTTAATTATTTATTTTTCTTTCGGCTGCTCTCTTCTTCAGGGGCCGCCACGGTGAACTAACTCTCACAAAGACTTAATTGTTTTTACACCGGATGTTCTTCCTGACACAACCGCAGACCGCCGAGCCGCCACAGCTCCTCTGTGGAGCAGAGAGCTGCCATCGAGGGCGCCCGGGGCGGGGCAGGTGGTGGGGGTTGAACCTGCGAGCTTCCAATCCCAGGCCCGCCTTCTCCAACCTCTGCGCCATCACTCCCCTATAGTTATTAATCAATTTTAATTTCAAATAATTTTTTTAATACAGTAGTCCCTCGCTGCTTCGCCGTTCGACTTTCACGGATGAGCCGCACGATCGGCGTGGATTTTTTTAATTTAAAATAAATTATTTAGCACCTGCTGCACCTAAGCCACGCCCACTAAATTAAAAATAACTTTGTACAAGCTTTTATCTATAAGCCGCGGGTTTCCACGTTGCATGAGATATTTACACAGGCTGATTTTTTAAAACTTTTAATTAAATACGTGGCAACGTACACAAATACGTGCAGTAAATGTTTTTTTTCTGGACAGTGCCTGTAACGTGGCTGGTTAAAAAATAAAATAAAATACAGTAGCCAACCAGGAAGTCATTGATAGCTATCCATCTTCCTGCGCAGCTGTCGGGATCCACCGGCAGCAGAAGTTGCTCTGCACATGCAGGGGAGTCCCCCCCCCCGTTTCATTGGTCAGATTTTTATTAACCTTTATTTCTACAGGTAGTCTCATTGAGTCATGAGGAGCCACCCCCAAGAGAGACGTATTGGGCAGCTCTGTGAGCGCCCGGGTGTGTTGAGGCTAAATGTTTTGGTGGCATGAAGCTCGTTAGCCCGTCGGTAAATAAATATAAATCCATAAATTAGCCGCAGCGTTGTTTAAGCCGCGGGGTTCAAAGTGCGTGATCTTATAGTCGGGAAACTACGGTACTTTATTCTTTATGGGCGTCAGCCTGTTCTGTTGAGGACCTTTTCCATCTGACTTGTCTCCCTCAGGTACCAGTGAGGACAACGTCCAGGTCTCCGGTTCTGTCCCGTCGGGAGTCCCCCCTGCCGTCACAGCCCAGCAGCCAGAGAAACGCCGCCGGGTTAGTTGTTGTCAAACAGCTGAAAAAGCTTCACACGTTAAAAATCAGGTCTGGGTGATATCAGGCGTTTCTTCTTCTTGGGTTTTGTCCGACCTGTTGTCGCTCCGTCGCAGTAACGTGGAGCAGCGCCCCCTGTGGGACAGAGTGGAGAAGCTGCAGTCCCGGCCCGGCAGCGGCAGTTCTTCGGGCTCCACCTCCAGCCCCCAGGCCAGTCCTGCCGACCGCTTCAGGCCTCGTTGTGAGTCCCCCGGTACTGTACTCCGCTACCAACTCCACCAAATGTGACGATTTTATACAGTTTCACTCGAACCTTTCCAAACGCTCTGGCTCTCTTAACGTCGTTTACCTTTTTTGGTCCACGCAGCTTCCTCTAAATCTGAAGGATCGCCGTTCCAGCGCCCTGAGAACGTGGCCAGAAGAGCAGAGGAGAAGAACGTGTCCAGGCCCACCCGACCAGCTGTGAGTGCTCAGTTACTGAAGCTGCTTAGACCTGTGTGACCTGCTGACACCGGGTCAAACCCTGTTTCTGTTGTTCCTCTCCTCCACCCCCACCCCCGTTCTCTGCTGCTGCTGTCTGAAAACTTCACCTGCTAAGGGTGACGTGGTAAGACTCCTAAATGAGATTACATTATTGCACCTTCGTTCTGTTTGTTTCCTCCTGCCTGCACAGTCTCTCGTGTTCACTGGTTAACACCCCCCACCCCCCACCCCGCTACAGCTTCATAAGCCTGGATTTGAAGGATTTGAATGCAAACGCACACCTAACTTCACCTGGCGTTGTCGTTTAACATGTCGGGAAGTGGGTTCTGTTCGCTGGAGACCTTACAAGAGCCGCTGCGGCTAATTTAATTTTTTTTTTTTTTTTTTTTTGACGGGAGAACGAGCTTCATTCCATCAAAACATTCAGCCTCATCACACCTCGGCGCTCACAGAGCTGCCCAGTACACACACCTCTCTTGTGGGGTGGGTCCTCGTGACTCAGTGAGACTACCTGGATTAGTAAAGTTTAAAAAACAAATCTGATTAATGAAATTACAGATTAAGTCAAGTCAAGTTCTCCTCTCCTCCCCGTTGTGCCCCCAGGGAGTGGGGAAACATCATTTGTGCAGCATTGCTGAGCCTGTCACGATAAATCAATCAATCGCATGATATTTGAAAATTATGAACCACATTTTCATTTACCAGCTTTATCGTTTCTTCGTGTCTCTCTCTTTCTACTGAAGACACTGGATGACAAAAGGCTCAACTCCGGTGCTCTTCACTGACCCCTCCCTTTCTCTTTAAAATCAATTTTAACGATCCAAAATCGCGTTTTTGGATCGTTAAAAGCAGCTAAGCTGAGAAGCTAAGCTACGAGCTAAGCTAACAGGCTGACCTCGAGGAAAATAATACCTCCGTCTCGTCGAAGCTCCAAAATTCACAGTTGTAACCTGTGCCTTTGTGTAAAAACTTGTTTTTCTCTGCAAAAAGAAGCTGAGAACTTGTTTATAGATTTTTTTTTAATTAAAAGCTTTGTGTGACAAATGCTATGCTAAAGAACTCAAACCACACCGAGCGTCCGCCATTTTGAGAACCCAAAAAAAGGAGAGAGAGACAGCCCATGTCACGTCAAGGAGCCTCCTTCCCATTTTTCTTAGAGACACGCTGCTCGCTCCCTCACTATCCATCCTTGGGTTCAAACAGTCTTCTACTTATACATATATTGGGGCCGAGATGGTGTAGGGGCAGGCCAGTCGACTCAGGACTCCAAGGTCCTGGGTTCGATCCCCGGTCATTGCACATCTCGTGGTGTCTCTGAGCAGGACACCCAATCCCTAATTGCTCCCTGGGCAGTTTACATAGCTGCCCACTGCTCCACCTGGGTGCATCCCAGGTGTGATGGATTAAATGCAGAGAGGCGTTTTCATCTTTGTATGGGAACATACAATGATGACAACATATAAGACTTTATATATATAAACAATCTTATACTTGTATATCAGGTCTCTCTTGTAAATAAATAAACCCTTTATAAATAAAGATTGAATGAAAAATACTGCCATCCAGTGGTCAAAAAGGTACTACACACAAAAATTAACCAACATTTCTTAAATTTGACAATAATTACTAATTAATGTCAAATTTCAAACATTATCGTTTATCGCAATAATTTCTGGGACAATTAATCGTCCAGCAACATTTGTTATCGTGACAGGCCTAAGCATTGCATCATCGCTTCCTCCTTCATAGTGCGCAGGAGGAAGGTGAAGATAGTGATCATGTTTTTTTTTTTTGTAAACAGCTTTATTACAGACACTGTTCAGAAAAACATTTACTACAGTATTTGTGTACGTTACGGTACGTATTTAAAAGTTTAAACAATCTTTCTGTTTGTTACATGTTACAACATGGACACCCACGGCTTATATATGTACTTTTTTTGTGGGCGTGGCTTATATTTTGGTGCGCTCAATAGTCCAGAAATGACGGTATTTGCAACAACACGCTGCTTCTGATGATGCTCGGTGCGTCCCGAAGCCAAGATGAACATTTACTGACATTTAACATTTTTGAGTCGTGAGCCTTCCAGTTTTTCGTTGCGTCGGACGCTGATGAGATTCGTGAACAAGTTCAAACCAGAGCGTCTACTTGTAGGACCTGACGGCTCTGGCCAAGGAGCTGCGAGCCGTGGATGACGTGCGGCCTCCTCACAAGGTGACGGACTACTCCTCGTCAAGCGAGGACTCTGGCACCACCGACGAGGAGGACGAGGAGGAGGTGGACCAGGAGGCAGGAGAGGAGTCCACCTCGGGAGCTGAAGACTCCAGAGCGGGGTAACTCCACCGCAGCCTCGCTGATATAAAAACTGTTTTGTTTTTCCTGCTGCGTGCGTAAGTCCACTCCTCTCGTGGTTCTGCAGGAAGCTGAGCAACGGAGAGACGGATTCTGCAAAGACCATGCTGGTGGAGGACTCCGAGAGCGAGCAGGCCTCCACGCCCTCCAAGGACGGCACCCTGGTCATCAGACAGGTCAGAGAGAACACTTTTGTAGCGTTTCCCTTAAAAAAAAAAGTGAATATCTTACCTGTTGTAGATAGCGCTTTGAACAACCTCAGATCTGCAACAGGTAGGATATTGACTCATGGTACATTTTCCAATGAATAGAAGATCTGAACTACGTCATTTTCTCCCTCGAGCGTCGTGAGTCGTGCACCTTTAATCTAATCTGTCAGATTGTTTTAGCTTGCTGGTGTCGAAACGTGACTACTCTGGATTTGATGCGGTGACTCGAATCCCCGTGTTTTGCTCGAGCCCACGTGTTCCTGTTCTTGCTTCCAGAGCGCGGCCGACATAAAGCGGCTGCTCGGTCTGTCCTCGCCCGGTTCTGGCCTCCCAGAGAAAAACGGCCTTCCGGGCCGCATTCACCACCTGCCGGACCTCATCCAGCAGAGCCACCGCTCCCCTTCCTCATCCGCAGCCATCCTTTCCTCCATCACCACCTCCTCCTCCTCCTTCCCCTCCTCATCGTCCACCCAGCCCAGTCCTGCCATGTCCTCACAGATCCCTCTGGACGAGCTCGCTCCGCTGGAGGTACGTCGCCTTTGCATCCCCGAGGCAAACAAACGAGGAGCGCACAGCTGGGGGTCGTATGGACTCCTCACCTGGGGGGGCCGTACGGACTCCTCTTTCCTTAACGCTTGCTCAGCTCGTACGAGTCTGTACATCCCAGCCGTGCACTTCTTCCATGTTAGCCTCCTCCTCCTCGCTTCACTCCTGCTCTCCTCCGCCTCCTTCTGACAGGCTGCTGCAACCCTTTTCTGTCCTCCCCCTTCATCACTCTGCTGCTAACACCGGCGCCTCCTGGTGGTAGAATGCGGTCGGGACACGGAGGAGGCGTAACGTTACGAAGCGAAACGATTCTAAACGGACTCCTCTTCCCTCTTTGCAATAATCAAATAATTTCCTTCTAACAGCTGCCGCAGCCCGTCGGGCTCGTTCCTTCTGAAAACTTCACGCTCCTCCTCTGCAGCCTTCAGCTAACGTCTCCGCACGCCGTCTTTTCCTCTGACGAGTTTCTTTTCAGCCGCTTGACTCAAACCGTGCGGTGTCTTCACAGTCCCAGTCAGAGAGCAACTCCATGTCCAAACACAAGTCCTCCTCGTCGTTCACGCCCTTCATCGACCCGCGCCTCCTGCAGATCTCTCCATCCAGCGGCAGCTCCCTCAACAACATGGGTAAGTTGCTCCGGTTAAATGTCGTGATGAGAAGCTTCGAGTCTTTTTGTTCGGGTGTTTTTATGACGAGCGTCGGCTGCTTTTCTTCCCTCCAGCAGCGTTCGGGCAGGAAGGACGGCTCGTGGACCCGCTCAGGTCTGACCCCTCCCGCAAAGGCTCGGTGGTCAACGTCAACCCAGTCAACACGCGGCCCCCCAGCGACACGCCGGAGATCCGCAAGTACAAGAAGAGGTTCAACTCTGAGATCCTGTGTGCAGCTCTGTGGGGTGGGTGTTCTCCAGCTCTTGGGGAGAGGGGGGGGGGGGGGTGTTACCTGGTGAACAGGTGTTTGACCCGTCTGTCTGCTGCCGCCAGGAGTGAATCTGCTGGTGGGGACGGAGAGCGGCCTGATGCTGCTGGACCGCAGCGGTCAGGGGAAGGTCTACCCCCTGATCAGTCGGCGGCGCATCCAGCAGATGGACGTCCTGGAGGGACTCAACGTCCTGGTCACCATATCAGGTGCTCATCAGACCATTCATTTTTTTACTAAAAGCTTTGTGTGAAAAATGCTATGCTAAAGAGCTCAAAGCACACGAGCGTCCGCCATTTTGAGAACCCAAAAAAGGAAGGACAGACAGTCCATGTCACGTCAAGGGGCACTCCCTCCCATTTTTCTTAGAGACACACTGCTCGCTCCCTCACTATCCATCCCTCGGTTCAAGCAGTCTTATACTGCCATCCAGTGGTCGAAAAAAGGTACTACACACAAAAATTAACCAACATTATCGTTTATCGCAATAATTTCTGAGACAATTAATCGCTCAGCAGAATTTGTTATCGTGTACGAGGTACTCTTTAATAAGTTTTTCACCTTTCTCCTGCAGGTAAGAAGAACAAGCTGCGGGTTTATTACCTGTCGTGGCTCCGAAACAAGATTTTGCACAACGACCCGGAGGTGGAGAAGAAGCAGGGCTGGGTGAACGTGGGCGACCTGGAGGGTTGCGTCCACTATAAAGTCGGTACGTCCTCCGCTAACGTTCTGAAGCGTGTTGAAGGTGAGGACTCCACCTGCGAGTCGTTCACCGAGTCTCTCTATTTTAGTGAAGTACGAGAGGATTAAGTTCTTGGTGCTGGCCTTGAAGAACGCGGTGGAGGTTTACGCCTGGGCGCCCAAACCCTACCACAAGTTCATGGCCTTCAAAGTAAGCTGCTCTGTGACGTCGTGCTGGTCCAAGACTCTTTCCTCAAATAACCAGTTTATTTTCTTCAGTCTTTTGGTGAGCTGGTGCACAAACCGCTGCTGGTCGACCTGACGGTGGAAGAAGGCCAAAGGTTAAAGGTCATCTACGGCTCCTCCTCAGGCTTCCACGCTGTGGACGTGGACTCGGGCGCCGTCTACGACATCTACCTGCCCACACATGTAAGACGCAGCCCGATCCCACCTTTCTGGTTCTGTTCTTGGTAGGCCTGTCGCGATAAACAATAAATCAATTAATCGCATGATAAATGAAAATTATCGACCTCTTTTTCATTTATCGGCGTTGTCGTTTCTTCGTGTGTCTCTCTTTCTACTGAAGACACTGGATGACAAGAAGTTAAACTCCGGTGCTCTTCACTGACTTTTCTCTTTAAAATCTGTTTTAACGATCCAAAATCACGTTTTTGGATCGTTAAAAACAACTAAGCGGAGAAGCTAAGCTACGAGCTAAGCTAACAGGCCGATCTCGGGGCCCCTTTCCGATTTTTCTTAGCGACACGCTGCTCACTCCCTCACTATCCATCCTTCAGTTCAAACCGTCTTATACTGCCATCCAGTGGTCAAGAAATGGTACTACATGCAAAACAAATTAAACCTTTCTTCTTAAATTTGCCAAAAATTATTGTAAAATTTCAAACAATATTATCGTTTATCGCAATAATTTCTGAGACGATTAATCGCCCAGCAAAATTAGTTATCGTGACAGGCCTAGTTGTTTATTTGTGCGCTCAGATCCAGACCAGCATCCAGTGCCACGCCATCATCATCCTCCCCAACACCGACGGGATCGAGCTGCTGGTGTGCTACGAGGACGAGGGCGTCTACGTGAACACGTACGGCCGGATCACGAAGGACGTGGTGCTGCAGTGGGGAGAAATGCCGACTTCAGTGGGTGAGCAGCGCCTCGGATCGCAGCCTGAACGCTTTCTGAACCCGGCAGTAACGTTCTGCGTTCTTCAGCCTACATTAGGTCCAACCAGATAATGGGCTGGGGCGAGAAGGCCATCGAGATCCGCTCGGTGGAGACGGGACATCTGGACGGTGTCTTCATGCACAAGAGAGCCCAGAGACTCAAGTTCCTTTGTGAGCGGAACGACAAGGTGACCACGCGTTCCTTCCTAATCGTTATTTATTTTCATGTAAGCTTTTTAATCAGGAATAAATCCGTTTTGGTTTCTCCTCAGGTCTTCTTTGCCTCTGTGCGTCAGGGGGGTGCCAGCCAGGTGTACTTCATGACCCTGGGGCGCTCGTCCCTGATGAGCTGGTAGACGACGAGACGGTCCTGTCCAAGAGAACGGCCTCGAGCCGACCAGCCCCCGACCGGACTGTAACCACGAAAACAAGTCAAGGATGGACTGAGACACGTTCAGCTTCTCGCCCTTTGAGACCCCCCCCCCTCCCCCGGGGCGCGGCGCCTGTTCATCTTTTGTGTCGTAGTAAAAAATAAAAGGCGTTGCGTCCTGTATGTGAATAACAAAGTGTCTGTCTGAACGGCTCGTCGCCTCACCGTGCGTTTTAGTCCCGATTCAGGTTTCCACGTCCAGCGACAACGCTTAGTTCACGCCCCCCCCTCCCCCGATCGGTGCTTGACCTGTAAATCTTCACTTCTTCTGCCTTCACCTCCTTAAAGAGTCTGTTAAACGCAGGCTGTGGACGTCCTGACGGACGCAGGTTATCCTGCAGTCTTCGCCTCGCCTGCTGTAAGTTTCGAGCAGAAGCCCCGCCCACCCCCACCGATGACGGCATGACCTTCGTGTTCGAAACTGAACGAAACCCCAGAATTTTATTACGATCGTTGAAGTAATGATGAAAACAAACGTTGTTTATTACGGCTCTTCTGTCACGTTGACGTTTTCTTTGCGTTTTTTTTTTTTTCAGCCAGAACCCAAACGAGACAGAAATGTTGCTTCATCCTTCAGCATCCGCTCTCGTTGGGATAAACTGTGAATTAGCTGATTAGTAGCACAGCGTGGATTTGTTATTTCTTCACGCTGCGCCACCGTGTCATCAACCAGGTCTGAAGGAGTTCTTTGACTTAACACAGGGGTGCCCAATACGTCGATCCCCAAGGTATTATGGGTAGATGGCATGGCGTTAAAAATAGACGTCAGCCAATCGTCTATGAAATTTGTCTTTTGACGGACGGGGCCGCCAGTCTGAGACCCCGTTTACACGACGTGAAACGTTCGGCTGTTCGTTTACAGACAACGGCCCTCGTACTCTCTGAAACCGAAGGTTTCTGAATCCAGGTCTCAGAGTGGAGATTTTCAGGGGAACCCCCCACGGAGGTGTGAAATACTCAAGTTAAGTGGCACTTGTGCACTACAGGTGGCTGCAATCCAAAGTTTTTCTGCACAAACAACAGTTATAATAAACAACAGTTATAATAAATAATAACAGTTATAATAAATGGCAGAGAGCAGAGTGTTTTTGTGCTGCTCACCCTTTTTCAGCATTTAGGAGCAAAACTAATAAAGTCCAGACTCCAAAGAGACGTTAGTGCGTTCACCAGTTTGGACTAACCATCATGCAGATGCTGCATGTGCGACGAGGGTTGCCAGATAAATTTAAAACGTCTTATTTACCCCCTCCTTTTCTGTGCACATGTTCAACACACACCTCATCTTAGAATATCTTTACTCCGCACATGTGACGGTTTACGTCAAAATGCTATCATTTTAAAGCCACAGTAATATCATTTCTTATCTGGCAACCCGACTGACATGGAAACTACAGCGCTTTCGTGTTTTATACCCCCAATAAACATTGAAAAAACACTAACATTTCCAGAGGTTGTTCTCGTGTAAACGGGGCCTGATAGCAGGTAGATCACTTTGACTTGGTCATTTTAAAAGTAGCTCCATGATGAAAAAGTCTGGCACCCCTGGACTAACGTGTAGCTAAACCGATGCCTTAGAAGGGTCTCCAGATGATTCAAACTCCATGTTTGGATTGTCGTGTACTGTAGGAACACTTTAGTCTCAAACGGCCTCATCGTTGGACCTCTTCCCTTTATCCACACCTGGTAGTGTAAAGCAGTGGTTCCTAACACTGGTCCTTGAGGAACACCATCCTGCATGTTTTAGTAGTTTCCCTGCTCCAACACACCTGATTCAGGGATTTAATTACTTTCTCAAGCTCTTTAGAAGCCTGCTAATCACATTCATTGAAATCAGTTGTCAAAGCAGGAAAACTAAAATATGCAGGATGGTGTTCCTCAAGGACCAGTATTGGGAACCACTGGTTTACAGAGCCCAGTTCAGTTAAAGACGCTCAACTTAACTTGAATTATTTTGTTTTTAATTAAACCTAGACGACGAGGCTCGACGCCATGTTTTAGACAGTGTCAATCGAGCGTAGCCACATTTCGCCTCTTTGCCTTCGCCGTCTGAAGGCGGACCTGCTGAGAGCGACGCGTCCAAATCGGACCTCATCCTGCAGAAGATCGTGAAAGTAAAGTCGGACTAATAGCAGTGTTACAGAACCTCCGCAGACGTTGTGAACTGAGCGGCATATTTTAAAAATCCGTTTTTCGTCTCGTTTCTGCGATTTTTATTCTGTTCTTTCAGACAATATGCAGCTGCGGCGGCTTTTCTATTCCAGTGCACACCTTACGTTCAAAATGTTTACAGAAACTTGTTTTGTTACACCGATATGAATATTTATGGTTTATTATGAGGGCAGTCCCTCCCTGCCCCCCCTCCCCCCGCCAGGTTTTTGTATTTTATATTCCATTTTTTTGTACTATCATTTAGACGTTGTGTGTTTTTTGTCTTGCGGGGATAATCCACTTCTGCTCGTCGAGTCCACAGACGCCTCCACACCGTGGAGCTCGATGTCTCTTCCACGCCTCTAATTTATGTCCTCTGTGTGAATTACGGGAATTGCTGTATTTTCCTGAAGGTCTTTTTTTCCTCCCCACTCATTGAATAAAACCTGATTTAATTTACAGAACGGCGTCTTCGTTCGTCTGTCGAAGCTTTTGGGTTTAAATTTTAACATTTGTTTTAAGAAAAAAAAAATCACCTCAAAGCATCAAAATGAGTCCAGTTTGTAAAACTTGGTGGTGGTGGTGTCATGGTTTGGGCCGTTGTTTGTTTGGTTAGTTTTTCTCTGACTTCTAACAAGTAAATTAGATTTCTTAAACACAATCATTTTAGATGGATCCATTCGTGCTCAGTTTATGAATTTTAAACAGTAAGTTTGAAAATGTTTAGAGATAAATGGACAAACCATTTTATTTTGCTAATAAAATAAAAAAAATGTTGCCACAAGATGGTACTGTTGTTCAGTTAATACTTATTTTATTTAAAAGCCCAGTTTTATAAAATTAGGCTTAAAATATAGCTTCCTATTAAACAAACTAAACTTTTTAATGTTTGAAAATTTATTAATGTCTTTTTAGTTTATGAACGCAATATATTACAAATTATTATAATTATATAGCTATTTAAGAGAAAATTGTGATTAAAATGTTACACTTATTTAAAATAAAATGCTAGGAAGTTTATTATGACGCAAACTCACGAATTTGTCGTATGCGTTGACGTAACGTGTGCTTTTATTTTGAAACTCCGCGACGGAAGTCAAACCAGTCGCCAAGCTGGAAGTAGGTTAATAACGTGCTTTTATTTTGAAGCTCCGCGGCGGAAGTCGCACCGATCGCTAAGCTAGCTTGACGGAAGTCGGTTGAGTCACGCTGCATCCCGACCGGATGTTTGTCCAGCGCGTCGTGATGAGGACACTTTAAACAGCCGTCCCGGCTCCGGCGGCCTCCTGGACAGGTGAGTGTCCGGATTTGTCGCGCCTCCGGCGGGCTCGTTGGCCGGAGGAGCCGCGGGTCGTGACGCTGGTTTGCGGCGAGCGCGCACACGCCCCTGCGCGCTCCCTCCTCCTCAGCTGTTCTCGTTGGAGCCGCTTCAACAGGCGGGGGGAGGTGGGGGGGAGAGCGCTCCGGAGACAGGGAGGCCGGAGGCGACGCGTCCCTTCGGGGTGTCCACATGTCCCGCTGCTGGTCTCTGGTTGTCCACTGACAGGGACAGGTTCTGACTCCGAGAGGTCCAATGATAAAGATAATTGGTGAAGCAGATATTTATTAGTTTCTGTTCAGCAGAACCTTTAAATGGACAAGAAGGAAAAAACAAACTAATATTGTGAAGAGTTAAATGTAGAACCTCAATATTTGACTGTTTTATTAGTTTTGCATCTGGAAAAATAATTGTTTTGATTTGACTGATGATTTAAATTAAATCTAAGTAATTTTATTCAGCTATGAAACGCCCTTGAATATCTATATCTTTATATTGGAAAAACAACTTTATTTTTTAAAAGCCGTTAAAAAGTGATTTGGTCACCTGTACCTTGAAGAGAAATGTAACTCTCAGCCTTTTTTGCAGATGTCTTTGTCTTCATCTCCAGCTGAGAGTCCAGGTTTAGCAAAAACCGTATACTGCCATCCAGTGGTTCCTAAAAGGTACTACACACAAAAATAAACATTTCTTCTTCAATTTGACAATGACGATAATATTGTTTGAAATATTATCGTTTATCGCGATAATTTCGGAGACAATTGCCCAGCAAAATTTATTATCGTGACGGGCCTACGCTCCCACCGACACTGCCCTGGCGCTAAGCTAGCGGCGCAGCATACAGACGCGCTAGCTAAGAAGCTACAAAGGTAGTGTGGCCTCAGGATTTTGACTCTGCTGTTTGCAGATGATGTGGTCCTGTTGGCGTCGAGATCTCCGGCTCACTGGAGCGGTTCACAGCGGGGACGAGGATCAGAGCCTCCGTGGTTTATCTCCGCGTCGAGAGGAATATTTGCTCATTTTAAACGGTTTTTAACAAATCTCTGAGGAGTTCGAGTTAAATTAACCTCCAGTCTAACGATGTAGAAGTTGTGTTGGAAGCTTGAAGCATCGATTAAAAACACACAGGTGCATTCTGACGGATTCAATTCAGAAAAACTTTATTAATCCCAGAGGGAAATCAAGTGTCGTCGGGAAGGATCTGACCACAGATACAGATTTGTCCACCTGGATCCAGCTTGCTGTCACGTCCAGCGGGGTTCTTGGTCCTCCTGGGCAGCAGGACTGCCCCAATGGCGGGCAGAATTCTTCCCTGAGTGATGGTCACTCCTCCCAGCAGTCTGTCGAGCTCCTTACCATGGACAGACAGCTGAAGGTGCCGGGGGATGATCCCGGTCCTCCCGTTGTCACGAGCCGAGTTTTCACCAGCTCCAGGATCTCGGCAGTCAGGTACTCTAGCACCGCTGCCAGGTTGATGGGAATTCATCCACGGCACCTCTTTTTTTTCTTCCCCAATTCATTTGGGATTTGGGGCTGTAGTTGAGGTATTTGAGCTTTGAGATGTTAATCAGCTGCTCCTGGTTGTTAAAAAAAAAAACTTGTTGCCATGGTTACGCATCATAAGTGCCCAAAAGTAAAAAAAAAAAAAGGTTTGAACGAAACCCGGCGGAGGAAGATTTGTGTTTCTGAGCGTTCGGGTCTAAAGTGTGCCGCGGCGGTGCGGACAGAAAACTTTTAGAAGTCGCTCTTCGCCTTTGTCCTACAGTCTCTTAAAGGCCACATCAGTCCTAAAAACCCCCCACCCCACCCCCCCAGCCTGAAACAAAGGGAGGAGAGTGACCGTGGTGCTGTGGAGCCAGGTGTTCTCCAATGCCACCCCCCCGGGCCTAATGGCAGCAGCTGCCCTCCCCAGCCTCCCATTGTGTGGCTCTATTGTCCGTCCATGGGCCACACGGGGGAAGTCCTTTCAGACTTGGGAGACGAG